CTCTCTCTGTGTGTGTGTGTGTGTGTGTGTGTGTGTGTGTGTGTGTGCGTGTGTGTGTGTGTGTGTGTGTGTGTGTGTGTGTGTGCTTTGCTTTGAGATCAACCATTCTCGACTGTTTCACACCATGCTCACACCATCCGGATGTATATGTCCTCGTTCAGAATGTTTTAAAATTTGAAGTCTTCTTTATGGTTGGATCAACTTGGATGCAAATTTCTTGATGCCATTTCTGGCTTGAACCTCACTCAGGCGGGAACTCGGACTCAAGAACTTTCCAGCTTGTATGCTCCCGAAGGCACTTAAAGATTTTTCTTTGGCCAATGAGGGGTGCTGGAATGGATGGGTCCAATTCTTTTCGGAAGGTTTAGAGGAGAAACGGAAACGTGTGCAACTATGCCGTGCGGGACGTTTTTTTTCCAGAATCTGGAGTCTGCCCCAAGAACTACAGGATATCAGATTTGCGCAGCGGCCTCGTATCTCACACGTCATCAGCATGTGATATCCTGACCCTAGCAATGACCAAGTAGCTATCTGACCTCTCCCCTTGCCGGAATGGACTACAGCCGGCGGGAAAAAAGGACAATTCCGCCCATAGGAAAACGTGTCAGGAGAAGAACAGCTCACATGCTTCCCTCCTTCATTCCCACTCCTATACCTCTACGGTCTACCCATGTTTTCAGCTTCCTTTACTAGACTGTCCAAAGCCACGATGACGATCGCTGTCTCCGCATATCCATCCCCAATCGTTTTGGCTGATGTTCTTTTTTCCCGCTTGTCGCACTTGTCCACACTTCCAGCCTGTTTTTTGCCTCATACGGTCCATCACCCACCTCCACCTCGCTGCCCGCCCCCTTTTTTCTGCACATAGTTTTCTGCCCTCCCGACCTGCTTTCCCGCTCCTGCTCTCATCCCAACCTCTGCGTCCACGCCTCCAACCTGTTTTCCTGCCCCTGCAGTCCTTCTCCCGTTTTCTGACTTCTCCCAGATCTCACTTCTCTGACCTGTTTCAAACTTGTGCTCTCTACTGGGACGTAGACAGAGGATGAAAGCTTCCAGCATCGACGCGCGCAACGACGGGAGAACCAACAGCATTATCTCGAGTATATATCTCATTACTTAGAGTCACTTCGCAAGCGCATTCATCCCCTGATGATGGCCACTTAGGCGAGGTTGCCGAAACATGACGGGATTAATCGCCTGGCCCCACTCCATATTTTCGTGACTATATTTTTTCGGAAGTGGGGCCCTTATTGCGCTATTTGCGAGTTGGTCTACTTTTTCTCTTCCCTCTCCCCCCCCTCCTTTCCTTTCCTTTCTTCTTCTTCTTCTTCTTCTTCTTCTTCTTCTTCTTCTTCTTCTTCTTCTTCCTTCCTTCTCCTTTTCCTCACTACCTCCTCTCCTTCTGTTGCGTACTATGGTTGCCTAGTCAAACCCCATCTCGCGCACTGGTCCGGGCTCATGTTCGACTTTCGCGACTGCATCGTCGACTATCACGTCCTTTCCATAGCGTGTCAACCACCGCGTGAGTCGCCGAGTGGTGGAGATGCCAGGTTTACTTCGGTGACGGAGCTACTTCATGGTGACAAGTTGACAACGCATTGAATCCCGCTGTTTTCTTTTTTTTTTTCTTCCTCCTTTTCTTTTCCTTTTCTTATTCTTTTCTTTGTCTTTTCCTTTCCTTTTTCTTTTCACCTCCTTTCCTTTCTCCCTTTCTTTTGTCTCCCTCTCTTTTATCTCTCCTATCTCTCCTTCTTATAGCGCTACCGTCTCTAAGGACCATCCAGTCTTCGCACTTTGAGGGTGATTGCTGCTTGATAGTCGTCACGAGTCCACAGCAATACGAACTATTGAGTATAGCTGTGTTCAGATATCCGATCTGGCACGTTGAAGTAGATAAGAACGAGCTTTGTTGTTTTTTCGGGATACGGCTCATTTTTTTACCTTCCTTCAGAGAATGGCGGATGGAGGTTATGGCGGTCCTAACCGCAATTGCTACAACTGCGGACTATACAGACATTTCGCCCGTTGGTGTCTGTATCTGCCACGTAGCAATGGGTATGCTGGTTCTCCCAAGGGGGAATGGCTATGGGACTCCAAGTCCTGGGGCGAACGCTGTCCTGATCAGAAACGAGGGATACGTGCAAGGGAGGCCTATCCTACCGCCACCTCAACCTCTGCAAAAGCCAAGTCAGCAGGTTCGAAGTCAGCAAGCTCCGGGTCAGCAAGTTCAGCAAATCGAAGCTCCACTGCCACCACCGCTGTTGCAAGCTCCGCCTGCAGCGCCGAACGTCTCCAATGCTATCATCCCGTATCAACCGCCGCAGAATGCTGCTCCGTACCAACAACCACCTGGCGGCATGAACGGGAACAGGTCCCGCGGATGGAACAACAGGCCTCGAGACGCCGGGGGAGAGGGAGAAGGGCTCATGATACTGCGAGAGATTTGGAACGAAAGGCGGGAAGAGAGGAAAAGGAGACGAGATGAGGAAGATCGAAGAGTGAGAGAGGAGCAAGCAAGACTGGCATGGGAGGAGGAGCAACGAAGACTGGAACAAGAGGAGAAGAGAGAGACTGATTGAGAAGCAAGACTGGCACGAATTATTCGAGAACAGATGAAGGAAATTGAGGCGAAAAAGCAGGGAGGATCAACCGAAAGTAGTAAAAAGAACTGGGATACAGTTGATCCTCCAGCGAAGGCAGGGAAGAACAGCAAGGGCGGGGAAAGCAGTGACAGTAAGAAGAGAGATCAAGGAACCATGGCAGGGAGTTCAGAGAACCCGCAGCAACAAGGTTCTGGCAGACCAAGAGTTGATAATGTCACTACTCCATTGGATACCGGGCTCATTAGAATGGATATCGATGCCGTAAGAAAAGCTCAAGAGTCTCAGGCGGCTATGTTCCATCAAATGCTTTGCTGCCTCGA